TCTTATTACTGTCATATATCCTTTTGTTGTAACATGGGTTTTTCGTTTTTGCTCCTTTTTGGGGAACGAACATTAACAGTCTCTGTTCATAGTTGAAGCCCTTTTTCTCTTTTTTATTTAAACTTATTTAAAAAGGTCCATTGTGTCTTAATACTCAATCCCATGATACTAACACATACATACAAACACATAAAGAAAGATCATTTTAAAAAATTTGAGTTATTCAGCATTCAGATGAAGGTGGTCGAGTCCTTTACCCATGCTCTTTCAATCACAGTGGAATGCCCAACCTTGACATTAAACTTAGTAATGACCCACTGCTCATAAAACCAAGTTTTGACCCCCTTAAAAACCCCTTTGTGGCTTGTAGCTCCAATAACCATGTTGGTTCCCATAAGCATTAGGGACTGGATTTGGCCTTATAAATATTAAACAAAAGCTACGAACACAGACAGAAACTTACACAAGGCCATGTATATCTATCGAGTCAGTTCAAAATCTGTTGACTATGTTGATCATCTGCTCTTACTGGAATTTTGTGCTGCCATTAAACGACGGATGGTGTGAACATCTTTGCGTGTGTGCCATCCTCCTTTTAGGGTGTGGTGAACAATTTGTCACACGTTGTGGTTTCATTGCTGTCAGACCTGAATGACTCAGTGGTGGAACAGGAACAGCTTTAAGGGTTTCAGAAAAAAACACCTGATAACCATGTTGGTCCCAGCTTCTACAGTGTGACAGTCACTGTTTTTCGAAATAAGTGTGTGTGTACATCTAAAACTGTCCCAAAACCAAATGCTTCAACCAGACTTCTGTTCTTGCTTTACTTCATGCCCCCCACCCCTCATCATACCATCACAAGAAAAAATGGAAGGCTTTCCCCCTTCTGTTACAGTCAAATTTAGGGATACTAGTTTACTTTAAATGCATGCTTTTGATGGTGGGAGGAAGTCAGAGTAACCAGAAAGAACCCCTGCAAACACATCATTAATCATTTCAGTTAACTGAGGTGAACATTTGGGAACAACTTTGGATGTCTGACTTTTTAATCCATCAGTTAACTTTCTCAACACTCAAGTCCCTGTCTGAACAATGTTCTCTGGGAAATTACTTTATGTTCTTTTACTGCTGTCAAGATGGTTTCACTGACCCTCAGTAGACCCGCTCAGATCATAACAGAAAAATAGCAATTCTACATGCCAGCAGTGAGGAAGCGCTCAGAGCTTAAATGGCCCTGCTCAAATGCCACTTATCTCAAAGTTCCCAAACATTAGTGTGCGTTCATTTGATGTTGAAATCACACATGGATGAGGGAAAAAAAAGAAAAAGAGTGAATAACAAAGAGCACATAAAAGGGAACACATCTCTACCCCCAAATTAAGAGGGGTTCTGCATAATGAATATAAAAAAAATTAATTAGACATGTGGTCTGACAGCAGAACATGCTCCCTCCTGTCAGTCTGCCTGCTCCACCCTGCAAGCTTGATCCTCTGCATTCCTTCCTGAGCACGTGATCAAACTCAACCAGGCAGCAACAGCATATATAAATGCAGAGCCCATCTACGGTTACAAAAAAAAAAATTAAATAAAAGATAGATAATGACCTTACTATGCATCGTGATTTGTATGACCTGGGTGATTCTTCTCATAATAGCATTCATGGTAAGTCATTCTGCAAATATTAATAATTTGCTCTTTTCAGGACTGTGAGGCCACAGTAGCCACTTAGAGCTTGTACACGTGTATACTCCATATTTCTGGAAGCATAGCCTTGTACTTTTGTTATTCTTGATTTGAGCAACCTTTGAGCATGCAGTTTTGGTAATCTCATTTTAATGTTAGAAATTCATGAACAGAAGATAAGCATGAGGTGAAAACAACCTTTTTATATTGTTGAGTGTTTTAATAGCTTTTGCAGCCCATGATAAAAATGAATAATTCTTTTTTTATATATAAAAAAAGACTGAAGATGAACTTGCGACAAAGTTGTTGAAGGCTGCTCTTACATCCACAATGACGGCGATATTAGGTATGTTTAAAGTTTAATGCTTACTCCATGCAGTTCTTTTGATTTATCCCATGAAATAAGTTTTTGA